TTCCCTCCAAATGATTTTGAGTTTTGTTTCACATTGTTCTCCCTCTCTATCCAGGATCTCCTACATCCCTTCCAAGTGGATGACAGTGGTAGCCGTCATAGGCAATTCTTAAACTATGAAAGAATTTGCTTCCCAAACTCATTGTACATTAAGTGTTTGAAGCAATGTAGAATCTAATCACCTCAACCCATAAAAATGTTTTCTATGCATTTAAAATTTTTTATAAGGGTTCTGAATCCTTAAGTTTTAAAGATTAAGATAAAAGTTTACAGTCAGATTCAGAATTCTCAACAATGGTATCTCTCCATATATTAGTTTGTTCAAATGTTCGAAAGAATGCAGGAATTAAGAAAAGTTTAGAAATAGGATCTGATGTGCTCCAAATCTGGGCCACTTGACCAAATTTTAAGAGTGGCTGCCATGTGCGTGGCTCTCTTCAAGGCACTTGGGGAACAAGAGTGAACAAAATGGACATTCGAGTTAGATATATAAATGATAGGCATGGACGTTCCCTAATCTCAGTCTATTGATTCAATAAAAGGTGGCCATTGAAAACTCTCCATTTAAACTTGAGGAAAGGAGTAGAGGGGTGAAAGCAATACAGAAAGAGCAAGAACAAGAGACTGTGAATGAGGAGTGGCCCCAGAGGCTCCACTAGGAGGGGCAGTGCTCTTGCACACAAGCAGGGGAGGAGGAGAAAGGAAAAGAAGGTACAATCTTCCACGACTTGGGTCACAATCCTTTCGGGAGCTGTACCACCTTCTCCAAACTCATCCCAAAATCCTCTTTCACCTTCCTCTTCTCTATCTGTAGTCTATACAGGAAGGGAGGTACCACTCATACTGCCAAAGCAGCAGCCCTCTTCTTATTTCTCTGCCCCTCCTACAGGAGTTTATCTGTGGCCCTGTTCTACTAAGTTTGAAAAGGAAGATTTTATCAGTTAATTATATACAAATAGATTTGTTTGCTTGCTAATTAAGCAGCAAAGCAGAAGGAAGAAGTTGTAGACTAGGAGGCCAAACATGGAGGTTTCAGTTCTAATTTTGCTGCTAACATTGAGCGATCTTGGGCAGGTCACTTAACATCTGGAAATTCCAATTTTCTGTTGGACCTAGAAATCCATAAAAATAGCTCCTGTAAAAACTGGCCAATTCCATCACATGTTCATTATATACTTAAAAATGGTTACCTTGATATTTTAAAAATATATATACATACAATCTGACTTATAGAAAATGATTTGTGATTATGCACATTTAAAAAAAGAAAAAAGAAAACTGCCATCAGGTTGATTCTGACTCACAGTGACCCTACAGAGCAGAGCAGAACTGTCTCACAGGGTTTCCAAGAATACAGACCTTTATGGAGGCAGACTACCTCATATTTCTCCTGCGGCTGGTACATTTGAATTACTGACCTTTTGGTTAGCAGCCAAATGCTTTAACCACTGTGCCATCAGAGCTTCCTTATGGACATATATATGGTTGTAAATACATCAAAAGGGTAAGGAAAAATACAGATGCCAGTATTGAAAATGATTGTCTCTGGAAGCTAGAGAGGGGGTGAGAAGCAATGAGTTGGGACTTGGAATTTTTGCTCTATGGATGTCCAAAATGTCAACTTCTTCTACGGCGTCATAATAAGAAACAAAGAACTAAATATCCACAATAGTGCATGATCTAAGCTAGCTGAGCTAGGTCAACTTTTACATGTTTATGAAAAAATACTTCTTGGTTTCTTTTCTCAGCCCCTTAAAAGTGGTGATACAGAAAAATAAACACAATATTCAGAACTGTAGTTACCTCCTGGAGAGGAGTAGAAAGGAAATAAGATTGGAGAAGAACATATGGGGACTTTAGAAATGTTGTTAATTTTCAACCTCTTAAACTTGAGGGTGGGTCCTTGAGCATTCATGTTATTTTTCTTTAAACCACACATATAAATATTCTGGAATATATTATATATTTCCCATATGTGTGCTATATTCCATAATAAAAATGTAAAAACACAAAAACTGGGCAATATCCACATATATACCTTTAACCTTATCTCTTTCTCCAAGTTGATTTCAATAAAAGTAAAATACTAATTTGCAAATGTGTTTTCTGGAATACCTTCTCTGGGCCTGGATTTCTTTTTGGGCTTTTAGTCTTTCCTCAGCCCTGGCCTTCTCCACGGCCTGGACCTTCTCCCTGTGGCACTCCATCATAATCCTTTGGATTCTGTGGACCATGCGTTGTTCTGCAGCCAAGTTTTCTCTCTTCATTTCTTCTTCCATATTTTGAAGCATCTGTAACCTGGTTTTATCCACTATGTCCTTAAGCAACATTAAAACTAAGTTTAGATATTGTAGCTTTGATGTTCAAAACTGCACACTAAAAGGCTATTTAAATCATAGTTCATCTCCCTCATGGGATATGCACCGTTAACACTAATGATTTAAAAGGTAACTGTGTATAATTTGGAGAACTTCTATTTATATAATGTTAAGTAGAACCAGAAAGGTACAAATTATGTTGATAAATATGCACATAGATAATTTTGGAAGGAAATATTCAAAAATTAAAACAGCTGTGTTGGGGAGGGGAGGATAAGATTAATGGTCTATTTTTCTTAATTGTCTAAATATTTTATAGTCTCATGTTGTCTTTATATGTAATTTAAAATATGTAATACAATTCTACCTCAGGATGTTAGTCCCAGAAAATGGTAGAACTAATTACCGTGCTTCCTCCTGAGTAGGAGGGAACCTGAGGCTCACGTAAAAAACAGCTGTGCCTTCCTGCAGTTACAGGAAGTTGCCTGCCAATTCCTACCTTCATTCAAACTTTCTAGCTCCTCATTAGTGTTAAGGAGCCCTTTCTTGTTAATGGAGGGGACAGGAGCAAGTGAAGGATCCTGGGTGGCATATATGGTTTGCACTTGATTACTAACTTAAAGTTCAAACTCACCCAGCAGCAGTATGGAAGAAAGGCCTGGCAATATGTAAGATCACAGTCCAGAAAGTCCTGCGGGGCCATTCTACTCTCTAACACATGGAGTTGCTGTGAGTGAGAACTGACTCGATGGCAAAGGGTAGGAACATGTGTTCCACTGCTCTTGGGTAGAAGGACTGACCCATGGACAGCCTCTCTAGCCAACTAAAGAGAAAAGGCACTAGTCGAAACAAGACTTCAGGAAAACAGACTCACAAACGATCCTAAAGGAAAACCCAGTCATCATTCTGGAAATGCTTACTATCTACACAGTGTTCCCAGATGATACAAACACGAGAATGCTGGGGTCCTCAGCCTCAAGGGATTCACTGTCTAGTGGAGGAGAACCACAACCTAATCGTGCAGAGTATGGTAACAGAAACATCCAGAAAGGAGGGTCAACTGATTAATTTCATCTGGGAGCTTCAAATTTTTCATTGAAAGGTAAAGTTTTATCTCTATTTTGGGGACGATATTGAGAGAACATAAAAAAATCAAGTTCTATATCACAAAATGAGTCAATGGAAGAACTATGAATAGAAACAGAATTTTCACCTGCTAGTTTCTTGCTTCATTGCTGACTAAGATGCTAGAGTCTTTCAAGAAATTTATCAACTTATTTTTCATTCCAGGAATCAGTTTTAAAAGATGGTACAGTGTTTGTTTGTTTGTTTGTTTTGGTCTTGTTTTTATAGCTGCAGAATTCCTTATTAATCCCATATGAAATCTTACCCAGAAGTACAAAGAAATAAAACCAATACAGCAGAGTTCTCCTGGTTGAAGTTTGCTCATATCCCTTCACCCACCACCACCCCTTTCTGTGATTGGCCCCTGAGGAAGCCACATCCATATTCAATGCTTCTAGACAGAATTCTGCAGCTGAAGCGGAGAAAAGGTCAAGAGAATTCTAAGTTTCAAAAAACCTGAAATGGTTTTTACCTTCTTAGAAAATCATTTCAACAACTAAACTATTTGCCAAATAAAACCAGTTGCTGTCAAGTAGATTCCAACCCATAGTGACCCTATATGTGTGTCAGAATAGAACTGCCCTCCACAGGGATTTCAATGGCTGATGTTTTGGAAGCAGATCATCAGGCCTTTCCTCCTCAGTACCCCTGGGTGGACTCAAACCTCAACCTTTCTGTTAGCAGTTGAGTGTGGTAACTGTTTGCTGGCCAGATTTTCAGAAGGAGATTTAACATCTCACCTTGGCTACTCTAAGGGTAAAAAATAAGAAACAGAAACAGATCAAAGAAATCAACTTTGAGAATCTCTCCAGTGGTCTCATTTCATGCATTTAGAACATTTTTGTTTTTTGTAAAACATTTACTATTTACAAGTATTAGCTGGGTTTTCCACATTGCAGAAGGCTTTGTCCCTTACACATGGAAACTTTTTGATAATAAATATCTTGAATGGAAACATTTCTAAAAATTTAACACTTAAATCTTTTAAATCTTTAAATAAAAAGAACATATGAACACAAGTTATATTTTCTTGATGACCCAGGCTCAGTAGACAAAGATGAATTATTGCCCTGGGTTAAAAATGTTATAGCGTATATAATTGCTGAAGTTAATAGGGCTATTTTTCTCTGTCGTACATGACCCCAGGCTTCTGTGCATTTTTAGATATGAAAACTGCTTTTTACAAATTTTCTGTTCTTCCCAGGCCATTGAGCTGAGGACTCTTCATCCTAACTGCTGTCAGTATGTCCTTTTCCATCATTTCTAGTTTTCAGCATTTCTTTTATTTCAGATTTGGAAAATTAAACAACTAAGTCTGTTAAGTTCAGGTTGTCAAAAACCAAACCAAACCTTCTGCCATGGAGTTAAATCCAACTCATAGGATCCTACAGGACAGAGTAGAACTGTCCCATGGGGTTTCCAAGGTTGCAAATTTTTGCAGAAGCAGGCTATTATCTCTTTCTTCCATGGAGGAGCGGGTGAGGTTGTACTTCTGACCTTTAGGTTAGAAGTCAAATACTTTAACATAATAAGCATAAATAAGATCTGAGTCAGTGATAGAGAGGTTCTGCTATGGGTAATAAGCCTGACTTTTTTATTTTGGACATTTTAACTTATTTCTGGGCTTTTAATTATATTGTCAATAACTGAGATTGCTAGGTGGTTAAGATTTAGATTGGTGAAATACTTTCATAATAATATATTTTTCCAAAGACTGAGGTGAGCCTGGTCCAAGCCATGTGATTTTCAGTAGTCTCATATGCATGTGAAAGCTGGACAATGAATAAGGAAGACTGAAGAAAAACTGACACATTTAAATTGTGATGTTGGAGAAGAATATTGAAAACACCATGGATAGCCAGAAGAACAAATAAATCTTAGAAGAAGTATAGCTGGAATGCTCCTTACAAGGGAGAATGGGCAGACTCATGTCTTGTACCCCAGTCATGTTGTCAGAAGAGACCAGTCCCTGGAGAAGGAGATCATGATAGGTAAAGCAGAGGGTCAGTGAAAAAGGGGAAGACCCTCAACAAAATGTATGACACAGTGGCTGCAATGATGGGTTCAAGCATAGCAAGGATTGTGAGGATGGCACAAGACCAGGCAAGTGTTGTACAGAGGGTCGCTATGAATCAGAAACAACTCGAAAGCAACTAACAACAACACTAATGAATTTCTATTTGAATCATATTTAAAACTGATATCCCAGCTTTTTATTTTTATTGAGTTCTAAGCTAAAATTGAAGGATATTTGGTGGCGCATTGGTTAAAACATTTGGCTGCTAACCAAAAGGTCAGTCATTCAAAACCACCAGGTGCTCCAAGGAAGAAAGATGGGGTAGTATGGTTCCATAAAGCATTGCCTTGGAAACCCAGTGAGGATCACTATTAGTCAGAATTGACTAGATGGAAGTGAGTTTGCTGTTTTGTTTGTAAGCTAGGACTCAGAGTATTAAACTTAGCCTTTCTTCTATGTAATGATTTAGTAAAACCAAAATTATTTTACTGCTGAGCTCATATAGCATGTGCCTAAGGCACTTGACTGCTAACCAGAAGGCTAGCAGTTCAAACCCACCAGCCACTCCTCAGAAGGAAGGCTGGGCAATCTACTTCCATAGTGATACTGCCTCGGAAACCCACAGAGGGGTCACTATGAGTCGAGTCCAACTCCATGGCACATAACAACAACAACACTTTTCAAAAATTTACTTTACATCACTTCACATTTACCAAAGTCCTACATTAGTACCTGTTTTCACTAACCAAAAGAAATCCCAAAAGGATTTTTCACCTATGAAAAGAAGGCAAAAAGCACAACAGCATTCAACATTTGTTCTGCACTGGAGCCATTAAAGAGGCAGCGCGCACTTGAGCAGCAACAGTGACATCAGCAAGCTCCTTCCCGGGGAATTACACTGTACATACATGATGTCTACTTTACATAGGCTATGTATCATCTCATGTTTGCTTTTCCTATATCTTAGTGTTATTTTAGGTTTTTTTGTGTTATTTAGTACGATTTGGTAGGTTATTTTTTGGGTCTTGGAACGCTCAACATTTTTCCCATATAAATTAATGGTAATTGCTTCTTGGCTTTATACCATCTTAGCTTATGAAAGATTTCATAGAAGCTCTCTACTTTCAGAAAGTAAGGGAAACCTGTACACGCTTAAAAGTTACAAAACTAATTCAAAAATCTACTGTTAGGCAGTGTTCTTATTCAACTGGAGGTTTCGCAATCAAATTACTTTTACTGGAATACATTTTGAGTGACCCAACCTACATTTCAAGATGTTGTAAGAAGCAGCCTCATGAAATCCATCCTGTTTACTGGACAGATGTTTGACAGATATCTACTATACAATGTCTCCCACATGAAAAATGTCTCTTGGACAATATCACAGCTAGGAATATCTAAACCTCTCTTGAACATTTGATTTATCTGACCTTATCAATATGGTGACTCATGGCATTTCCTTCTTTGCATTGACTTCCAGAATGCTCAAGGTCAAATTAGTGATAAGTACACAGTACTCCATGGCTCACACACATTATTAAGTTTTAAATTCATCCTGACTTCATTATATTCCCTAATTTAATTTTTCTTATTTTCCTGTAGCTTCCATCTGTTCATTTATACTTTTAAATGTTAATGTATTTGAGTAAGATAATATAAACAACTTTCCAAAATACTACCTGTCCATTTGGGTAAGATCCCGAAATTTTATCTAACAGCAAGCATTTGAGACTTATCCCAAATTCCTATCATATAAGAGTGATACTTAGTGATCTCTACATACCAGAATTTACCATTTGGTATTCTAGAAGAACTTTTTTTTTTTTTTTTTTGCTGTAGACTGGTGACCTCAGACTTTAATATGTGGGAGAATCACATGGGTCATGAATTTAAAATGCTGCCAGTGATTCTAATTCTATAGATCAGAAGGGACATCTAGAAATCTGCATGTAAAGCTCCCAGGTGAGCAGATGGCTCAAAGGCAACCCCTGAGAAGCAGTACTGATACCTGTATCTGTGCACCTTACAACTGAAATAAAAATCTACATATTCCTTTACCTAAATCACTTCTTCATATATAAGAAACATCCCTGAAATGGTGGTTTAAGTATAAATTCTCAAGTAGGTAACTATTTCAGAGAGATCAGCCTCCCTCTTAGGACTTCCTTCCATAGGCGCACTAAGTGCATCAACTCCACCCAAAGGCTATATGAGGTACAATCAAATCACTAAAAAGAATACTAGGATGTGAACTCCTCAAAATGGGCATATCTAAGTTATCCTTGTATCTTCAGAACCTAACACCAGGAGTGATATTCAAAATGTGTATCAGCCACTATGGCAGGGGCCACCTATCAGAATAGCCCTGGCTGTAGTACTTGGGGCAGGACCCTGGAGCTCCCTACCAAGACAAGAGTTATCCTTTTAAATTGATGGATTGAGGGATGTAGTCAGGAGGGAGCACAGGGAAGGAACCAGGACAACCAAGGTGATAGGTTGAGGACAACAAGGTGATATGTGGAGGACAACCAAGGTGACAGGACGCTTAAAACCACTGCCATCAAGTCGATTCCAACTCATAGCAACCCCCTTCAGCTTTTCCAGATTTATGTAAATCTTTACAGAAGTGAATTGCCTCATCTTCCTCCCACAGAGCAACTGGTGAGTTTGAACCACCAACTTTCTAGTTAGCAGCCCAATGCCTTAGCATTTGGGGAGTGGCAATTTATCAAATGATAGAGAAGTATTTCAATACAATACTTGAGGAACCAACACTGTCATACTGATACATGCCAGCTAGATAGCAGACCTGCCTAAGACATGCTATAAATGCTTTTCCTATTTTGAACTGAAATAAGGGATGGTCAGTGGGTTGACTCAGCCAACCCTTCAAAGACCACACCAAGGCCTGGCTAAGGTAAAGGATTGGAGTCAAATGTGAGCACTTCACTACCATGTAGGAACCCTTGGGTGGTACCCCATTCTTGCCAGCAAGTCTCCCGAGGACAAGAACCATCCATTTACTCTCACTTAGTTTAGATCTCATATATGGTAGGTGCTCACTGTCCAAACAATAAATAAATGGGCCAGTAGTCCTGATCTGTTTATTAGTTATGTTCTTATTAAATTAGGCCAAACCTGAGGCCAGACCGGTGTCACTTCACGCCAGCCTCTGTCCCTGGATCATCATACCTGAACTACATCATAGCCTGTCCCTCTTCTGGCCAAAATGTGAAAATAGTGTTATATCCTTTTCCTTGGAGTAGATTTTATAACTGAGGAGCTGAATTAAACACTGAATCCCTGGGCTTCTCCCTAGAAAGTTTACTAATTACCAAGAGGCATGTACCTGAACAGGTCACAGGTCAGAAAGAGTTTCCTTCATTTGTTTTACCTCTTAAGACAGCTTCCATTTCCCTCTTGGCACTCCAGTACATATAAATTTAGGTAAAGATACAATCAGAAAGCCCAGGGGAAGGAAGAGAACAGCTTGCTTCGTTCTTTCAACAATTATTTAAACACTTTATTAATTCAAGGCACTGTGCTGGTCACTGAGACAAAAGTGGTGACAAGACAGACATGCCCTTATGGAGGCTGTGATCACATGGGGTAGTCAGATGTTAAACAATGAAGCACACTATGATGACTGTTGTGACAGAGAATAGGGTATCAAGGACAGTATGTGTGGCACGTTCAGGGTTGGCCCAGTAAAGGTTCCCTTAGGAAGCATTGTTTGAACTAAGATCTGAAGGATGACAAGCAAAGTGAAGGGATAGGAAGAGTATTCTGGAAAACACAGTAAAGCTCGAAGGAGCATGGTGCATTCAGGATCAAGTTCCCAAAGAAAGACAGTGAAACATAGGAAAGCAAGCCAGTGGCAAGAGAGGTGGGGGTAAGCCTACGGGATTCTCTTTCACTCGCTCATCACTGCTGCCACAGAATTCAGCACAGAGAATGACACCCACAAACCCCACAATTCTTTTGTGAAACTTCTGGTCTCACAACCAATCTTTATAAAACACTGTGGTAAAGTAAGTTCCTTTATGTGGCCTTTTGCCTTGGTTCTTCAGAAAAATAGTTTGAGAGATTTTTCCTCTAAGCCCTGAGAAGTTATCTGCCCTTGTTTTCTATCCCAGAGGGTTTGTTACTTTTGTCCATTTTCTGAGTAAACTGTAAACAATCAGATGGTTTGATTCTTTTTTGTCTGACCCTCACAGCCTGCCCTGTGATTGATCTATTTTATGTACCCTGAAGGGATTGTTCAATGTACTAGAGATTATGCAAATGAGTGACTATAGACTATACAGATGAAGTGACAATGATACATCAAGGGGACTGGTCAAATTCATGGCCCTGCTTGGAGGTCCATGCCTTGAAATTGACAAGGAATTTGCATATATATGCAACCAACCCCACAGAGGTTTCAGAAAGTATAAAGAAAAAAGGAGAAAAGCCAAGAAAGGTAAGAAAGAGAAGAAACAGAGAGAGAGAGGAAGGAGGTAAAGATCCTCTTAAAAGAGCTGTAACTGATCAAAGGCTGTAACACTGAAGACAGTGAGAGGTCCTGTGGCAGAAACAGCAGTGACAGGCCTGGAAGGGACCCTGTGGCAGAGTTAGTGTTGACAGCAGAAATCTGCTGGTAGGAATGCAGATTAGAGAGCTGAACAAAGATGATACACTGGCTACGAGCTGGGTCATTTAGCAGTGGAAAGGCCCGTGGCAGGGAGGCCAAAGGCAGAAAGGCCTGCATGGCTGACAGAGGAAGTACACAACTTATTTGCGTGGTTGAAAGGAGCTAGGAGAGCTCTCCTGAACTGAAGAAGGGAGGGAAGTGCTCTTCACTTTGCGAGAGCCTTCCAGACTTTGCCTGTATGCTTCCTGATTCTGAACCTGAGTTGTAGCCTGATGATCCTGATCCCGAGTTGTACCCTATTACTTCTTAATTGTGAATGTGGTTTATGAATTTTGTGGCCATTGCAATGAATGATCGAACCCAGCAGAGATGTAGAAAATGTCGTGGGGGGTGCAGGAACAACTGGTATCAGAAATGGTAAAGAAGTTGGAGAGTGGAGGTATGTCTGACCTCCACCTCATAGGAATCAGCTTTGGGATTCATAGGAATCCTCATGCTTATAACTAAGTAATCTAGGTACGTTCTGATGCCACTGCTACTGTTGTTGTTGTTGTTATGTGCCGTCGAGTCGGACCCGACTCATAGAGACCCCTCCTTGGGTTTCCGGGACGGTATCACTACGGAAGTAGACTGCCCCATCTTCCTTCCGAGCCACTGCTACTAGTCAAAACCAAAATCAAACTCACTGCCATTGAGCTGATTCTGACTCATAGTGAGCCCCCCTGGGTTTCCAAGGCTGCAAATCTTTACAGAAGCAGACTGCCCCATCTTTCTTCCATGCAGTGGCTGGTGGGTAGAACCTCCTAAACAACAACCTAGATTTTATATTTTATTGTTTTCTTTCCTTCTGCCCTTACCATGACTTTCACTAGCTTAAATACTTTTTAAAAGACAACAAACAAGCCCATATAAAAACCTGTAGGTCTTTTTGATGTTTCTCTTCCAGAACAAGAAGGTCAATTTTGTGTTTGTCATTTGCTTCTTCAAGAGCTTTTTCCACTGCTTCTTTTTGCCTTTCTTTGGCCTTTGAAAGAAAGAATCGTTTACCTATTAATACATCATGATTGCATAGGGCAGTTCATCATTATTTGGGATGGTGGTAAATTAGGTTTTCAAGTTTACCACCACGGGGTCCCTAATTACTTGCTGTTTCCATCTCAAACTTCTCATAGCTAACAAGCTGCCTTAGCCAGAGATACCCTAAGACACCTCAACACTTTGGTCTTATCACTATTTCAGGAATGGATAAATAGCGGCAGCTTTTCTGTAGGCTGCTGGTGCTCTTTGGCAATTTACTTCTTGCTTAATAATCAGAATAATACACTCCTCACTTATCAACATGGTTAGGCTCCAAAGACCAGGTTGTTATGTGAAAATTGGTGTTACGTGAAAATGAAGGAAAACCACATCAGATCATAAAATGGAAGATGACTCCTTTACCTAACTGCCTAATAGCATCATTATACAACTGCCAAACCAATGAAAATCACTGCCCAGAGAAGTTGACACATAACCTTAACCATCACAGCCAACGTTACTCTTGCCTTTTACCTCAGTGTTTGTTACTGCCAGATGTACATCATTAATGAGCAAAATAATTAGATAAATTTTTTACTGTTGTCGTAAATGTGAAATGTTGGCTGATAAGACAGTTGATAAGTGAAGAGTAGATGTATGCTCAATGGAGAACATCTGGAAAATGCAGAAAAGTATACAGGTGCACAAAAGTAGAAGCAGCTGAGTCAGGAGGCTGAGTACCATCCTAGATCCTCTGCATCAGGTCTTCAGAAACAAGTTTTATTACTTTATTGGAAAAGAAGGCCTAGAGCATTAGATAGACTGATATTTAAACTGTAGATCATTCACAGAGGCATTCCCTTTTTATCAAGATATATTAATTAATGATTCACAGTTGATTTGAATTTTTATTTTATTTTTATTTAGGCAAACCACAATGCCTAGAAAAATGGTATTTCTTAGTTTCTTTATAAAATGGATATCATGGCAAATAGCATTGGCATTGTCTAGTATGAATGTCAGCAAAAGTTTAACGTGGAAATATTTTGAAAGGAATACTCTAGTATAAAGGGTCACACACACACACACACACACACACACACACCCTGCAAAAGGTGATATATATATCTTCCTTTCTACTGGAGTATTCCTTTCAAAATACTTCTACACTAGTTTTTGCTGACATCCATACTAGACAATTCAATGATATTTGCCATATCTATTTTATAAAGAAACTGAGAAATAGTATTGTTCTAGGCATTGTGGTTTGCCTTGCCCTCAGGAAAGTTTTCTTTTCTTT